AACCGCTGACCTGCTGATCTAGCAGTAGCCTGCAGTGCTGCATTTAACCACTGCGCCACCTTGGCTCACCTTGGAGGATGGAAGCCTGAGTCAACATTGAGCCTGGTGAGATTCGAACTGCCAAATTGCACGCAGCCGGCAGTCAGCAGAAGTAGCCTGCAGTACTGCACTCTAACTACTGCGCCAGCATGGTTTACTCTCCGATGGGAGATTAAAAGGCTCAGCATTACACCAGACTCATGAAACAAAAGATTAAATCGACAACTTAACACGTTCCAAAGATTCAGCCAGCTTCATCTAAGCAGATAACTTAGAGGGATATCTATCAGTGGTGGGATTCAAAACTTTTACAACCGGTTCTGTGGGCGTGGCAGGGCCAGGATACTGTAAAATCTCCATTCCCACCTCACTCCTAGGGGAAGATTACTGCAAAATCCCCATTTCCTCCCAATCAGCTGGGACTCGGGAGGCAGAGAATTGATGGGGGCAGGGCCAGTCAGAGGTGGTATTTACCGGTTCTCCGAACTACTTAAAATTTCCGCTACCGGTTCTCCAAAACTGGTCAGAACCCGCTGAATACCTCCTCTGATGCCTATGGATATTCTCAGTCACTCAGATCATGGTTGTCCCAAAGGTGCTTTTTTCTCAAAAAGCAACTGGACTTTTTCCTTGAAGACATTTTTTTCTTCTCATCTGAGAAGCTTCTTCGGTTCTGACTGAGTGGCGGAGTTGACTGCGAGGAATATAAATCCTTCCATCCTCCCCCATTCAGTCAGTACTAAAAAAGCTTCTTGGATGAGAAGCAAAACATCTTCAAGGAAAAACCAAACCCAATTCCTTTGAAAAAGCACCTCTGAGCTTAGAGGCCAAACTCTTAATTCTTTTCTGAATTTGCACAATACATAAACCACGTTTTCTTGTTAATAATAGGCAAGGCAATCCTTTTTTTGTCACAGGAGCAGAGCATGGAGTATGGCCTTTTCCTGGGAGGCATTGACAGACCTAATGTTAAATTATTGTCTCTCATCCAAGTACCAATCCGGTCAATCTTTCTTATTAGCATTTTTGAAATGAGCCACGGTCAGCTACACAAACGTACTATTTTAGAAATTCCAAAGTACAGACTGGTGTGAAATAAGAGGCTGGAATATCTAGTTTGCGAACACCAAGGAAAGTCTGTTTCGGCATTTATGTTATATTGGGGCATGGAGAATGCTGATCCAGAGTGGCCGAGGGGGTCGGATATGACTGAATGGCTGACGATGACAATTGTATTTTTATAGATTTAAAACCACAGTTAATTTAATAAAAAAAACATCAGCCCTACCCCCGCATTCCACTTTTGTGAAAAATGAGTGAAAAACGGGGGTGTTTTTGTCTTCCACCCCTCCCCCCCAGAAACATTCTGCAGGCTTCAGCAGGGCTGGGGAAAGGGAAAAATGCTCCCCGTTTTGGTGAAAAGAGTCATTAAATGAACTGTTATAAGTCGAGGGCTACCTGTAATATCAGCCCACTCCCCCACCCCCACAATAATGGTTGTGTATATATAACACACACACCCTGGGCAAAACCCCTATCATGTATTTAATACATGTGATCCATTGAAGCTTACGATTGTGTTTTTTCCCCCCAATCTTAATTTTAGTCCTGCAGAATCAAATATGGAAGCTCAATCCATCTTCCCAAATAAGTGGGTTTTAGCTTTGAGATGCAGCCTTTTGACAGAGATTGTCTCTGGCTATCAGTCCTGGGGGCTACAGGTAGTCCTCGACTTATGACAGTTTGTTTAGTTACCGTTCAAAGTTACAACAGCAGTGAAAAAAGTGACTTAGGACTGTTTTTCACACTTACGACCGTCTCAGGATCCCCTGTGGTTGTGATCAACATCCAGATGCTTGGGAACGGGTTCATATTTATGATGGTTGCAGTGTCCCGGGGTCACGCGATCCCCTTTTACGACCTTCTGACCAGCAAAGTCAATGGAGAAGCCGGATTCACTTAACAACCGTGAAGCTAACTTAACCACTGCAGTGATTCACTTAACAAATGTGGCAAGAAAAGTTGTAAAACGGGGCAAATCTCACCTAACAAGTTTCTCACTTAGCAATTTCCGGTCTCAACTATGGTCATAAATCAAGGACTACCAGCTGAGGTAGATCAACAGTACCGCCTTGCTCATTTTCCCAGCCTCTTAGCCTTGGAAAAATCCCCTTCCCTTTGGGGCTTACTTCAGTCACGCATTCATCCTCCGAAAGGTATCCATGGGGAACGAAGAAGCCATCGTCATCATCTTCCTCCTCTCCACCATCTTCTTCCTCATCCTGAATGACAGGGAAACAGGGAGAGATTACAAAGCGGCCTTGGAAAAGCATCTTTTTCTAATAAGAGCTTAGATCAACGGCAGATCTTTTGAAAAAGGCTGGTTGGGAAAGAAAGGGCATTCTCGGTTGTGTCAAGACGTTTGTGGGTATTTTTCTATGTTCTATACAAGATTACATACAATAATACATACATACAGTAATCTATACAAGTATGCTTTGTAGTATAAGACGCACTGGAATATAAGACGCACCAAGGTTTTGAAGGGGCAAATTTTGCACTCTGTAGACCTCGCAAAAACGGGCCCGTTCCCCCCCCAAAAGGCATGAATAGCCTTTAGGAGGCTTGGAGAGTGCTCGGGTCCCCGTCCCCCCCCACCAATGAGCAAAAAACACCCTGTTTTACATCAAAAAAATTGCAGGCATAGCCTTTAGGAGGCTTATAGAGTGCTCCTGGGGGCTGGGCAAAATTGAGCAAAAAACGGGCTGTTTTTTTGCTCATTTCTGCCCTCCCCAGCCCGCAGGAGCTCTGAAAGTCTCCTAAAAGCTATACACGCCCATTTTGGTGAAGGTGGTGGGATTTCAGGTGGCAAAAAATGCTGTATTCAATGTATAAGATGCACCCAGATTTTCAGCCTCTTTTTTGAGGGAAAAAGGTGTGTCTTAACACTCCGAAAAATGCGGTACATTATGCACAAAAATGGAAGGACATTTCGATCCCCACAATGGACAAATGGCTGCAAAAGTTGATGGAGTGAGCAGAGGTGGCAAAATTGACTATTTTGATCAAAGAAAGAAAAAACCACAACTACTTTTGTTTCTTGTTGGAAACCACGACTGGACTTTGTGCTTGAGGTGGGAGTCAAAATGAAACTTTGATTGTTGGTTTTACCGATGAGTTAGGTTTCTTGTTGTAGAAATGGCTAGTTTATACTATTATGGAAAAGTAAAAAGCCGAGGTTGGATGTTGTTATTTTTATTCTACCGCACCGAAGGGAGTCAAAAGTCAACACCTTTTTTTTTCTTTTGTCTCTACACTTTTCTTTTCCCCTTTCCCTCCCTCATTTTTCCTACTCCTTTGCTTTTGTATTTTATAATAAAAACTGTAAACATGACACTAGGGGGGAAAAAAGAGGTTTCCGAGTATTTGCCATTTCTGAAAGAAATGCATCTCTCACATTTAGGAATGAATTTCCCCCCTTCTCTCCTCCCCACCCTCCCCTTTCAAAAGGTCTGTGACGGTCTTTGGGCATATCAGCATTCAAAGGACAGATTCCAATTATGGGGCAGCTGCAGTTGGAAAAATTCACAAATCAGAACTGGCTTGATTCACAAGGAGGAACGCCCTTGCAGTCACTCATCTATAGGGTGTTTCTCACCCCCAGACATACGGATCTTGATGCCAGCTCAAGATTAATCATGCTGGAGGAGCTAGTTAGGTGTAGGGATTAAAACCTCTGGCTAGAAAGCAGGAGACTGTGAGTTCTAGTCATGCTTCAGACACAAAACTGACTGGACAACCGGTCAGGTTCTGTCAGCCCTAGGAAGGAGGCAATGGCAAACCCCTTCTGAAAAACCTTGCCAAGAAAACTGTCTTCAGGCAGTCTCTGATAATTGGACACAATTTAATGTAACAAAACAAAAAAAACCTTTCTGGCTATTTCTGTTAGACACTGTTCCAATAATCTTCTCTCAGAGCGTCAAGAAATCAGAGTATATGGCCAACCGTGGATGACCAATTTCTGTGCCTGATTCCAGATGTTACTGTAACATCATCGCTGTCTTTTAACAACCCCGTAATCCCTCGCGGGATGGAGTCTGGGCACCTGAATGGATCTAGCAGAGTTTAATGGCCAGATGTCTTTCCTGTCGCCAACGTGGAGTTTTGTCCAACAGATAAATTCTCATTGTGCCCAGAGAAATATCTGCCTCTACCTAGGATCAAACTCACAGCCTCCTGATTGTGAGGCAAGAGCTCCGCCACTAGGCCACCGCACCACTCCATGTTACCTGCAACATTTCAACCACTACATAGTCTTCCCAAGGGTTTTGCCATTGAAGGAGAGGCAGGTTGCTCCTTCAGGGAACAGGCTTAGTCTTACCCCTTCGCTGTGAGAGAGGGACTCCCCTGGTTCCTCCTCCTCCCACTCTTCATCACTCTCAACTTCATAGTCCAGGAGCTTCTGCAGGGAAAGAAGCAAGAACAATGCAAACTAAGACAGCTTCCAGAAGGACTGGGCAACGGGGGTGGGGAGAGGCACTGATTTTGAACAGTATTAATGGCAAAATAAAAACAAGGAATCCTAGAACTGAGAAGGATCCTGGAAGTCACTGAATTCCAATGTTTGAAGGGCTGCCACAAAGAAGGGGGGGGGGTTCAACTTATTTTCCAAAGCACCAGAAGGCAGGACAAGAAACAATGGATGGAAACTCACCAAGGAGAGAAGCAACATGGAGTTAAGGAGAATCTTCGCAAGATTGAGGACAATTAACCAGGGGAACAGAAGTTGCCTCCAGAATTTGTGGGTGTTTCTTCACTGGAGGTTTTTAAGAAGAGAGACTGGATAGCTACTTGTCTGAAATGGTACAGGCCCGGGATGGTGAATCTGTTTGTCAGGGCATGCGAGGTATGCGCGTGCTGGCCAGGGGCGTTTTTCGTCCTCCGGAGCCTTCAGGGAAGCCTCCGGAAGGCCTCTGAAGGCTCCGGAGGACTAAAAATGGCCCTACGGACAAACCGGAAGTTTGCCCGTAGGATCGTTATTTGCCCTCCAGAGCCTTCAGGGAAGCCTCCGGAAGGCCTCTGAAGGCTCCAGAGGACTAAAAACGGCTCTACGAGAAAACCGGAAGTCCCTTCCCAAACTTCCGGTTTGCCCTTGGGCTGGTTTTTTGCGCTCCGGAGGCTTCAGGGAAACTCCTAAAGCCTTTGGGGGGGAGGGAGGCCTTTTTTGCCCTCCCCAGATACCAAGCCTCTGAAGCCTGGAGAGGGCGAAAAAAGGATGCAAAAAATGGGGGGGAGCACCTGTCATGCGCACATGCGTGCTGGGAGTCAAGCATTGCATTATGGGTGTGACATACCCCCGCACGCCTCCCCCCCCTGCGCTCCCCCTGCTTTTGGCACGCGAGCCAAAAAAGATTCGCCATCACTGGTATAGGGTCTCCTGCCTGGGCAGAGGGCTAGATTAGAAGTCCTCCAAGATCCCCTCCAAATATGTTATTCTGTTATTTGCTTAGTGCGAGATTCCGTGGGTCTCCAAACTTGGCAACTTTTAAGACTTCAACTCCCAGAATTCCCCAGCCAGCATAGGATGCTTTCTTTCCACAGAGATTTACTAAGCTGCCATCTCCTCCCATCGATACCCGCTTGGCCCCAGTGGCCTTTTAATGTGTTTGAAGAAGACGGGTGAATTAATGTTCCCAGCTTACCATATCTTTGGCCCAGGGGTTTCTGGGCCTTATTGCAGAAGTCCTCTTGTTCCAGGTGCCCCAGTAGGCAGGCCGGTGATTCTCACAGAACTGCAGGAGTTTCATCCTGCCAAATTTCTTCCTTTCGGGAGCATCTTCTGCCTGGCTGCTACTCACAATGACCACATCGCTGTTGAATCAAAAATAATAATAATAGGGTGCTCAATCTTTGTTGTCACCCACCGGGGTACCAAGACACCGAAAGAAAGAAAGGAGGGAGGGAGGGCAGGAGAGAGGAGCTGAAAATCGTCCTTGATCTCCAGTGAAACGAAGTTCCTAATTAGTACTGGGATAATGACGCCTGACTCACAAGAAAGGGACTTTTGTCCACGTCCTTAGAGAGGCCTTCGATTAAAATTGAACTGGTGAATTGTGTCACAGCTAGGAGGAGTGAGTGAAAGTTAAGGAAACGGGTGGGCTGCAAACCACCCCAGATCAAAGAGGAACGGGGGAAGTAGGGAGGGGACGCTAAAGCTTTCTGTCCTGGATGCATGGAAATGTCAGAGGCACCCTGCCATGAAAACATCTGGACAGGATGACTAAGGATTAAAGGGATCACAATGCACACCCTCTTACAGCAGGGAAGTCGTGAGGAGACAGCCGTGGGCTTGCAGCCAAGACAAGCTGAGACTTAAAAGTTGAGGAAGAGAGGGACATCTTGACATGGGTCCTCACACCCAAGCGATATGCGCAGTGCGTTGTCAACATCATATTTCCAGTGATTGCGCTTTTTTTTTCTCAAGAGGCAACTGGACTTCTTTTGTTTCTCTTTGAAGACAGACGGGGAGGGATACGACATCAGCCATGGTGGCGCAGTGGTTAGAATGCAGGACTGCAGGCTACTTCTGCTGACTGCCAGCTGCCAGCAATTCGGCAGTTCGATCCTGACTGGCTCAAGATTGGCTCAGCCTTTCCCTTTCTCTCTCTCTCTTTTTTTTAGGCAGGGGACATGATTAGAAGTTAGACAGGAAAGAAAGAAAAGGTTTCTCGATAAAGGGTGACACAATTAAAAGCTAGAATAAGAGATAGAAATAAGGGGAATATGAATGTATTCATTTTTATCTTATAAAATGGAAGCAATAATGAGAAAAGGTGGAATAATTGAAGGATGATAGATTGCAATGTAATACAAATGTGTATTGTTGTTAGAAATACATAGATTGGATGTAATAATTATATTTAATCTGATTAGTTTCATTTGGATTGGAATGTATGGCACCCAGGTGCCACTCTGTCCAAACATTGATTTGACATTTTCATTAAAAAAAAAAAAAATTTAAAAAAAAGGTTGGCTGAGCATCCATGCTTCCAAGGTCAGTAAATTGAGGAGCCAGATTGTTGGGGGAAATAGGCTGACTCTGTAAACAGCTTAGAGAGGGCTGGAAAGCACTGTGAAGAGGTATGTAAGTCTAAGTGCTGTTGCTATCATCTATCCCCAGTTTACAACACGGTCCTTTCAGCAGTTCCAAGAAGGCTCCTCACCTATTTGCACCACTCAGGTGACCCTGAGGACACAGAGAAACCTACAAGTGGCCTCAACGGCTCTCTAAAAAGGATGCAAATGACACAGCTATAAATCCTTCCCTTCCCCACCATCCACTCAGAGCTGGAGAAGCTTCTTGGATGAGAAGTGAAACGCCTTGAAAGAAAAACCAGAAAGTCCAGATGCCCATATAGGCACAGCAGCTTGTCTAGTTTTATTCCTGAACTTTTATTGTTATCCAAAGTGTTTTGCTAAAGCCACATCTGTCCTATGACAGGCTGCCTCCCCCCCCCCCAAAAAAAAGAGTAACTAACCTGTTAATCTCGTCAGCGCTGGGGCTGCAGGCAAGGGTGGGCTCCGATTTTCTAGCATCCCGACTCTTCAGCTCTTCCAGGAAGGAAAGCTCGCAGCTCTGCTCTTCCACGGAGCGATCCATTCGGTCGGAGAGCTCCTGATCGAAGGGCACCCGGCAAAGTGGAGCCAGGACCATGTTCTCCTTGATCTCAAAGGGAGCAAACTTCCCACACCGGCCGGCCAGAGTCTGAAAAGAAAGAGGACAACTTTATTACGCTGTGTTCTGACCTAGGCTTCCTGAGACAGTACAAATCACACGCTTAGTCCCAAAAACCCTCTTTTTATTTCAAAGGCTGTGAATTATATTCATTCACAGCCCCTAATGAGTCGGAAATAGTTTGTGAGGAGTCCGACGACAGAAGTCTGCCACAATCCTTCGGGATAAGCACCCACCTTTCTCTCCCTTGAAAGGCTGCAAAAGACCTAATTGGCAATTAGCTTTGCAAGGCCACATAGAACACAGAGTCAAAACGAAGCTTCAGAAGGTAAACCGACCAGCATGAACCAAGTTGCTTCCTGCAAAGGCTCATGTGCCTTTACTCCTCCTTTATGTCCTATGGGAGGGGCCAATCACCTCCAAGCCTTACTTCAGAGTCGTCCCTTTTGTCTTAACTGTTCTTGCCTTCTGGCAGCTCTGCGCATGTGCACACTGGGAACAGGTTCCCCCTGGTTCCTCGCTGATGTCCGACTCTGGAGACTCAGGAGGCAGCGCAAAACTCCCAGATGGCCCTGGTCCCCTCTCTGCCTCCGTCGCAGAGCCCTCATCAGAGCCTTCCCCAGGACTGGCTCATGTTCCTCCCCAACCTCCTCACTCTCCGAATCTCCTGCCAGCTCCGCCACAGACCACAATACGCTGTTCTTCTTGGAATGCAACATAGGATACAAGTTTCATCCTTGAAGCCCAGGAACTTAAAAATAAAATTACACACTTAAAAAATAAAATACGTTACCTACCATTCTGAGGTCAGCATTTTGCTGTTTAAACCAAAGTGCAAACAGAAGAAACGTCGCATCACAGCCACATTAGGCTGTTTTTAAACTGCAGGTTGATTATTCTTACAGGTAATCCTCAACTTACAACCATCCATTTGTTCTAGTGGCCGTTCGAAGTTATAACACACTGAACAACGTGACTTGTGACCATTTTTCACATTTACAACCACCGCAGCATCCCCATGGTTATGGATGGAGATGCTTGGCAAGCGATTCATATTTATGACCGTTGCAGTGTCCTGGGGTCATCTGACCACCTTTTACGACTTTCTGACTAGCAAAGTCAACGAGGAAGCCAGATTCACTTAACAGCCGTGTTGCTAATTTTACTGCAGTGATTCACTTAACAACTGTGGCAGGAAAGGTTTTAAAATGGGGCAAAGCTCACTTAACAACTCCCTTGTTTAGCAATGGAAATTTTAGGCTCAATTGTGGTTGTAAGTTAAAGACTACCTATCTTTTTTAAAAAAATTGCGGGTTGATTAGACATGCTGATAGTAACTGTGCAACATTCTGACTCTGGGGACATAAGCCTGCAACTTCTTAAATTTCTTTAAATTTCAGCTTCTCTTATTTTAGCTAAATCTACAATAGTTGTGCTGTTTTGGCCAACAATTCCATTAATAGTTCCTGAAATTCAAAATGACCTTCAAGTTCAGGTATTTTATGGTATTACCCAGAAAAAGAACATATAGTTTTAATGCCTCAACAATATACAGAAGTGGTTAGAAAACTTACTTTTGGAGCAGGTGGGGTTTTTGGTTTTTGAAAGAACCGGGTGATTTCAGCTTTTTCTGCTTTGAGGCGCTAGAATCAGAATATGAAAAAAAAAAAAGAGAGACGTTTCAATCCACGAAATTAAAAACACCAAAGCCTTCTCTAACACAGAGAAGACAAACACTGTGTGATGTCCAAAAGCCCTTCTTTTGAGCTCTGTATTCTTGCTGAAATAGAATAAAGAAAAAGGGCTTCTGGTTTTACCTTCTCTTCTTCTTTTAAGCGTTTTTCTTCTTCCTTTTTTCTTTTCTCTTCTAATTTTGCCCTTCAAAATAAAGCCCAGGTTTAGGAAAATATAATCTCGGTTTACGAAAACACAAGCATTGGGAGCGTTCAAATATTCCCCCAAAATGTTGGGTAAAGGTGTTCCAGTCCAGGAATTTTGCAGATCCTTAGTTCAAAGGCATTTTGGGGTGGGGGTGGGGTGGGAAAAGCTTCCATTTGAATTTCTAAGTCAAATCCATTTTACGATTAAGTGGTCCAAGAGGCAGTCTTGGAAATATCCACCACAACTGGACAGCAAATTGCAATGGAGCACAGATTAAACCTCACAACTTGCGTGAGATGGATGGATGGATGGAAGGAAGGAAGGAAGGAAGGAAGGGGAAAGGCAAGGCAAGGCAGAAGGGAAGGAAAGGAAAGAGCGAAGGGAAAGAAAGAAGGGAAAGGAAAGGAAGTAAAGGAGGAAGGTCCTCATAGTGATACTCTGAGCAGCATTAAAGCAAAGCAGCCAATCAGTAGAATGTGATCCTATAACTGTCCAATTATATTCAAACAAATTGTTTTTGCAACAGGCTTGGTAACAGTCCCTGGCTTGATGGCCTGGACGGTGTTGCATTCAATTCCATGTTGCGACCTTGGAAACGGCAGCAGTTCTCATGGGATATACGACTATGGTAGCCTCCCCCTTTTACCCTTCCATAGGTCCCTCCCCGTTGTGTATGGCAGACTGGCATCTGAGGAAGGAAGGAAGGAAGGAAGGAAGGAAGGAAGGAAGGAAGGAAGGTCAATGGTACCTGGAACACCATTATAGGAAAGCAGCCAATCAGTAGAATGTGATCCTATCAAGAGAAAAGAAGCAACCAAGTCCAGCTAGCAGAATCCCAACATCCTAACCAACCAGAAGAAGGGAAATCTACGTTGACTGACAATCCCATGTGACAATGTACTTACTCCAGAGCTTCTTGCCTCTCTTTCCGTTTTTCTTCTTTTGCGCGCTGCTTCTCAGCTTTCTCTTTTTCATCTTTCTCCTTTTTCTCCCTCCTTTCTTTATCCTTCAGCTCCTTCTCTTCTTCTTTCTTCCTCTTCGCCTCCTCTCGGGCACGTTCCTTTGCAGCCTGGGCTTCCTTTTTCAGCAGCCTCTTCTCCTCCCGTTCAGCTTCCAGCTTCTGAAGTTTTTCTGCACGCTCTTGGTCCTTTAAACAAAGAGAGACCAGAAAAGGCCTTTTAAGAGGAATTCTTGACCCTGTCGTATCCCCACAGTCGAGCAGTGCAATATGTGTTAAACAGGTAACAGGTTGCCTCAACTTGCAGCCATTAGTTAAGCGACCATTTGACGTTACAACTGCACTGAAAAATGTGTCTTATCACCAGTCCCCAGACATAGCAAGTCATAAAACAAAGCATGGCTCACTTAACTGCCTTGCTTAGCGCTGGAAATTCTGATTGTGGTTGTTAAGTTGAAGACTACCTGTATATGTTTCCCAGGCTCCTCCCCTGTGGGTGACCAGGATGGTGAGCCCAACTGAGGGAAATCAGATGAAGATGCACATCAGCTAGCGGGGAAGGGGGGGGGGGACACAGGGCAGACAGTTGTAAATTCAGCTAGGCCCAAATTTTGTTTGCGTAACTCTGTGGGTGGTGCAACGGACAGAAGAGTGGAATGGTCATAATTCCCTTCATTCAGTGCTGCTGTAACTTTTTTTTTTTTGTTATGATTAGAAAATTTATATTGCCACCTTTCGCACATGGCGACTCAAGGCGTCTTACAAGAATATAAAAACCTCATATAAGAAAGCAATAAAACTAATAAGAGGGAACCATGTAATAAATTAATGAAATAATAATCCCCCAACCCCTGCGATATTTACACACGAGCCATTTAATGGGCTCCATCCCGTTCTGGGTTCCCCAGGCCCACTGGCAGAACCGGATCTTCAGCGCCTTCTGGAAGAGGATTACAGTGGGGGCCATTCTAATCTCTGGGGGAATGATGTTCCAGAGTGTGGGAGCCCCCACGGAGAAGGCCTTTCATCTGGGTCCCACCAGGTGTATCTCCCTAGGACAGGGGTGTCAAACTCAAGGCCCAGGGGCCAGATTCGGGAAGCTTAGTTCTGGCCTGTAGGGCCACCCTGGAAACAGCAAAGGACTGGCCTGCAGTGCCTCTGTCAGCGAAAATGGAGCTCGGGAGGGCTGCATGTACCTCCCCAAGCTCCATTTTTGCTGGCAGAGAGTTGCAGGAGGGTCGCAGCTGAAAATGGAGCTCGGGAGCCCATTTTCACTGGCAGAGTGTTCGGGGCCAACTTAGGCACCTCCAACTTGACTGACATCGTGCTGGCCACGCCCCTCCTGCAGCGCCCCCCCCCCCCAAGGTCAAACACAACCCTGATGCAGTCTTCAATGAAATTGAGTTTGACACCCCTGGACTAGGGGATGGGACCCACAACATTCCTTCCTTACCTTTGGCCACTGAACAAAAAGGTTATGAAGTGGAGATATCTGGCATGTTCATAGATTGAATAAATAAAAACTTTCCCCATCATAGATACCAGAATGACAGAGTTGGAAGGGACCTTAGAGGTCTTCTAGTCCAACCCCCTGCTCAGGACGGAAGGAAGCCGTATACCATAAACCAATGGAAAGGTTTAAACTCACACAACTATCTGCATAACCTATTCGCTCTGTCCTCTTTTTAAAATTATCTGTCCTTCAAAATTAAAATGAAATCCTATTAACCCTGGGAGATCTTGAAAGAAGTATTGGCACAGTTGCCACCCTCAAATTTCCTGGTTTGCTACTTTTTTAAAATTCTGTTTTTATAGCTATTGGAAATAACATGGCTACTGTAGCTGGAAGGTGGAAAGACTCAGAACAACACTGTCACTTTGTTAATATTGAAACAAAGAAGCAAGTAACTTAAAGGGGGTTAGAAATTTTGTTTCCTGGTGTAACATTCTGTCAATCCTTGCCTTCCTTGGCACTGAATATATACTTAACCTTATCACTCTAATAGGAGGGAGTTTTCACAGGACTCTGAAGCTCATTTCAACCTGTCCTTCCACCCCCTTATTTCTCAAAAAAATGTTCCAGTAATTTCCTCAAGGAGGAGGAGTCTTGCTTTAGAAAAAATATATACTTACTTTCAACAAGGGATAAAATACAAAAAGCAAAACAGAGATTAAAAAGTAAGTAAGCAAAATCAGGGGTGCAAAAGAAGGAAAAAAGAAAAAGAAAGAATAATTCCCAACTGATGCAGATATAAAATACACTGACCTCTTACTCTAAAACCAACAATGCACAGTATTTCTATAATCATAAACTGTGTGAATCATCAAATCCCAAAATGAAATCTTCATTTCTTTCCATTTCTAGCGACAGGTCCAACAATGGTTTCAAATAAAGTTCAAACAGAAACAAAGGTATTTTCTTTAAACGAAATACCGTATTTTTCAGAATATAAGATGCACTGGAGTATAAGACGCACCAAGATTTTGAAGAGGCAAACAAAAAAAAAGTTTTTGCACGAAATGGGCCGGTTTTTTTCAAAAAAAGGGGGCATGAATAGCCTTTAGGAGGCTTGTAGAGTTCTCCTGGGGGCTGGTGGGCAAAAACAAGCAAAAATCCGTTTTTTGTCAAAAAAAGAGCATGCATGGCTCATTTCTGCCCTCCCCCCTCCGCCCCCAGGAGCACTCTATAAGCCTCCTAAAGACTATGCATGGTCGTTTTGGTGAAGGGGGCGGGGTTTCAGGAGGCCAAAAAATGCTGTATTCAGTGTATAAGACGCACCCAGATTTTCAGCCTCTTTTTTTAGAGTAAAAGGTGTGTCTTATACTCCGAAAAATACAGTAATCAGTTTAGGGGGTGCCTTGCTTTGTCTGGAAATTGCACCATCCAATCACTGCAACCACCAAATGGACTAGACAACATGCCATGTCCCACTTGTTCCTGGATATTGCCAAAGCCAGAAATAGCTGCAATCACACAACTTCCTTGATTGTACTTCCAAAGTAGCATTTCAGCCGTAAACACCTGGAAGATATGGGATGGTGGAAGAGGCCTTTTAAGCCAGGCCAGATTCCCTCTGATTTTATATTGTCTTCCCCGGAATTTAAAATCTTTTCTGGATTCTAGCTGGATATGGTGGCATAGAAACAAGGGCTTTTCCTGCCTGCTGAGCTTGTTTCAGTGGACACAAATTACAATTTATTAGGGATGCGCAGGCATGAAAAATGCTCTGGAATCAGCACTTCAGACATCCAAAAAGTAGAAAATCTGTTATTCATTACTTCAGGTATTTATTAGGCTTCTGTGCTTGAGCAGCCAGAGTGCCAAAGTCACTGTGGATGTGTCATCATCTCTTAGCAACCAGAGATAATTCTTCTCCAGGATGATGACTGGTAATTAAAGTAGCTCAAATTTTAATGGGGTTTCACGAAAGCTTTTTTTTTTTTAAAAAAAAGCCCTCAGGCTGCTTCAGTGGTGACCAAAGAAATGTCGTCATTAAAACCATTTTGTTACTGTCTTCGCCATCACTTTCTTAAGCCCGCACGCTTTCACTTTTCAGCGAGTAAATTCAATTACTCAGTGGAATCATCTCACCCTCTGTAGCTTGAGTTTCTCCTTCTCCTCAGAACTTCGATGGAGCTTTGGAGAAGCCTGAAATAGGAAAGATGGAGCAGGTTATGCTATCAACATTTCTTTTAAGCAATCGAAACCGTGACTAGGATTTATACAGAGCACAAACCATAACGGGGTCTGGGTTCTACAAACTATGTTTAAGGGAATTGTGGTTAAGCACGGTGGCCCCCAAATTTTGCAGTTTGGCAGTCTGCTTGGAAAGTGTAGAAGAGGGGAACTGGGCCATGTGGCAGGCTGGTGCACGCACATGAGATTGTCCACCGGCCCCCCACTCAAAGCAAGTTGAGTTGCACTCCAGACTCAATTGGGCTCAAGTGGCCCAATTCCGAATGGGGACCTCTGGGCATGAAGTGTGAGTCAGACCAAAGAGTCATTTTCATGTTTTTAAAGACGGACAGCTGTATTATGGCATAATGCAGTGACCTGACTTCCTCATCCGTATTTTGAGAAAACAGAGGAAGCACAAAGAAACACTTAGGCCAGTGTTTCTCAACCTTGGCCACTTGAAGATGTCCGGACTTCAACTCCCAGAATTCCCCAGCCAGCATTCGCTGGCTGGGGAATTCTGGGAGTTGAAGTCCAGACATCTTCAAGTAGCCAAGGTTGAGAAACACTGACTTAGGCTACAGTCAGGTGAGGTTAGAATCATGATTTTCTACTTATCTTCAGAAATCCTAACTAAAAAAAATTTTTTTTTATAGGTAAGATGATTAAAAAAGCAACTTTGGCATATGAAGTCTGCAATGAATCCCAGCCCAGCAACATGTATGAGGAAACCGAAAAGCCCTCCTCAACCAGAGATGGGCTGGGACTACATCTCCCATAATTCCCATAATTATCTAGCAGCTACATGGAGTCTTCAACTTATGACCACAATGGAGGCTGGAATTTCGATCATAAGTTGTTGGGGGTTCTAAGTCGAGGTACCAACTGACTGGACTCAAGCTTACAACCATTTTTATAACAATCATAAGCTGAGTCACCATGGCTGCAAAGTGAATCTAAATAAAATCTATATGAATAAATACAAGTTTCATTTTATCATTACGGCAAAGAGGCAAACTAAAAATACTTATTTGCAATAGGGTTTAAATTTGAATGCTTTGGAGGGTGATGAAAGGATGGAGAATTATGTTCTGCAATGTTTGAGGTATATTCTGGGAGTAGCAGAGAACTAACACAACACAACTTGATCTGAATTTATACCAAAGTAAGAATCTTCTCCAATTCTTTTCCATAAAGATTGTTAATTCCAGCCCATGAGTTGAACAGCAACAGAAAATAGGCAGTAGACCAACTTACAATTGCCACAACTGCAAATTGTACTGGCACCACCAAGACTTTCCCATTCTTATTTGAAATCAAGAAAACAAGACTTGCCAATTAAACTTAAGTTTTGGCCAACAGAACAATTCAGGACTTTGTTTCCAGCTAAGGAAGGGCAACAAACAAATCCCAAAGGCTTGTGAATAAACTACTTTCCAGAAACAATACAGGGCTTTTTAAGTATTAGCTGGAGAGTTTAATGACATAATAGATACCTTTTTTTAAAAAAAAAATCACAGATATATACAATGTGTAACATGCCATATTACACAGGCAGTTCGAAGACCCAGTAACAACAAAACAGAGAAGTTTTTTTAAAAAACACACCGCAATACCAGACCACTTTGGAGAAGTTGATACGCAACACACCAATTTATGCAACGCACTAAGTCAGCAGAGAGTGATCCTTGGCTCACATATAGTGGATCCAGCTGCCTATGTGCTTATGGAGTTAGGTTAAGGATGTAATTCTCAAGCCTTTGAGTGTTTCTGATATAAAGGGGAAGGTTTTAAGAAGCAAAAAAATATGGTTTTAGCGTTGCAGAACACAGCCATAGATGTAGTCCCAGTCAGAAGTAGATTGCTTCTATATATAAATTTCATTTCACATTGTACAGGGATACATTTAGCAACTGGACTTTGTGCTTCCCACAGTGCATAGTCCTCGACTTGCAACCATTCATTTAGTGACCGTTCTAAGTTATAACAGCAGTGTAAAAAGTGACATTTTTTGTATTTAATCTCCATAGTCACGAGACTGGAATTCGGCAGCTCGGCAACTGGCGTGTACTTATGACGGTTGAAACCCTGTCGGGTTTCACATGATCACTTCCCAGCAAAGGCAATGGGGGAAACCAGATGTGCTTAATGACTGCATGATTCACTTAACAACTTCAGAGTTTCACTTAACAATTGCAGAGATTCACTTAACTGTCATGAAAAATGTTGTAAAATGAGGCATTGAACAGCTGTCTTGCTTAGCAACAGAAATTTTGGGTTCAATTGTGGTCATAAGCCAAAGACTACTTGTAGAGAGGGTACGTCTGTTGACTCAGCACTAAGTTCTCTATAGAAAGAGTGGATATTATAACAAGGCCTAATAAGGCCTTAAACCCAAACATATCAAGATGTATTATAGCATACAATCCTCTTACTCTTCATCTAGTAATTTTGGCTGGTAGCTCAGACATCCCTACAAAGGAATTTCCAGATTGTTTCCTGAAATAATTTTTTAAAAAACCTACCAAGTCGCATTATTCCACTAGAAGCTATCTATAGATAGCATTTAATGGCCATAATCAAGGAAATTCCACACCACAAGCTGTTCACTTTGGATTGTTTCCTTCCCTATCATGCCCACGGGGTATCTGTTCTGAGGAACAGCCAGTTCTGTGGAAATTTCCCTGGGGTTTACTCCAGGGAAATGGAAGATTTCGAGCCTTTGTTCTCAACGGGGCCCACTTACTGTGTTAATTTTTCTTTTATGAATACTGATGCTATATCGAGAGCCAGTTTAGTGTAATAATGAAAATACCAGGAGATTTTGAGTTCTAGCCCTGGCTTGGTAAGTGACCTTGGACCAGTCACCTTCAGCCCTAGGAAGTAAGACAATTGGAAGCCATTTCTGAAATTTTGCCAAGACCGCAGAGACGTATCCAGGCAGCCACGGAGAGTCAATATTGACTCGAAGGCGAGTGGATACGCAAACACAGCTACTTCATGAATACAATACACCTCCTCCACTGCGGATTTTCATAGGTGGCATTTCAAACCATATTCCTTCCTTCTTCTGCCCTAAAATCCACTCTCATTCTCCAGCTCAAATCCAGTAATAGCTATAATAGATTTGAGGCCAGCTCAAAAACTATTGAGTTTTAGTTGCTGGGAGTCGGGCACAGAGGTGGTATTCAGCAGGTTCTGACCAGTTCTGGCGAACCGGTAGCGGAAATTTTGAGTAGTTTGGAGAACCGGCAAATATCACCTCTGGCTGGCCCCGCCCCCATCTATTCTCTGCCTCCCAAGTCCCAGCTGATTGGGAGGAAATAGGATTTACAATATCCTTCCCCTGGAGTGGGGAGGGAATGGACATTTTACAGTATCCTTCCCCTGCCACGCCTACTAAGTCAGGCCACACCCACCAAGCCATGCCCACAAAACCGAAAGTAAAAAAAAAATGAATCCCATCACTGGGGCCGGGCAGCATATAAATTTAATAAATTATTATTATACAGATGGGCTCGGTTTTCAGTTTTCTAATCCTGTGTGCTACTGTGAAAACATTTCCAATCCATGTTACAGGTAGTCCTTGACTTATAACAGTTCATTTACTGATTGTTCAAAGTTACAACGGCAATGGAAAAAGTGATCATTTTTCACACTTATGACCGTTTCAGCATCCCCGTGGTCATGTGATTTACATTCGGATGCTTGACAACTGACTCACATTTATGACTCACAGGATCAAAATGTATAGATGCTTTGCAGCAGGCTCATATTTACGACGGTTGCAGCATCCCGGGGTCCTGTGATCCTCTTTTACAATCTTCTGACAAGCAAAGTCAATGAGGAAGCCAGATTCACTCAACACCCAGTGTAAGAAGTGCAGTGATTCACTTAACAAATATGGTGAGACTCAAGGCATAAAATGGAGCCAAACTCACTTAACAATTTTGTTACTTAACACTACAAATTTTGGGATCAATTGTGGTCATTAAGTCGAGGACCAAATGTTTTGAATACCTAAAAGTGCACAATCTTGTAAAACTGTTCATCCCTTTCATAAAAGATGTGTCAGCACCTTATCCGGCCCTCTGGAACGAACTCCCCGCAGAGATTCGGACCCTCACCTCTCTCCAGGCCTTCCGAAAAGCCGTTAAAACCTGGCTGTGTCGGCAGGCCTGGGGTTGATGAGTTCCCTTCCCCTCTCGACCTGTGTGTCTGTTGGCTATTTTAATTGCTTGTATTGTACTTTGTGTTCCCTTTCCCCCTTGAGTTGTTCGCCACCCTGAGTCCCGTTGGGAATAGGGCAGCATATAAATAAAACAAATCTCAAATCTCAATCTCTCTTATCACACTTAGGAAGAAGCCAATTTCCAACTTAAAAAAAACTCATTATATTCCATATTATCGTAGCAGGCTTCTGTTCGTGCAACAGGTTTTTAAGAAGAGACTGGACAGCCATTTGTCTTAAATTGTATAGGGCCCCCTGCTTGAGTAGAGGGTTGGACTAGAAGACCTCCAAGGTCCCTTCCAGCTCTATTCTGATTGACTGGTTTCTCTTTAGAACCTTCTTGTATTCCAAACCCATTTCCAATAATTTAGAAAACAATGGTTACTAAGGAATAATCAGGCATTTCATAAGAAGTTGCCTTGTAACTGTTCAAATACTTGTCAAGAAAGCTTTTGCTCCATATAAAACTGTCGTAGTATATTTATTACTTGCTCCATGCTTCTACTTTACATCATTTGAACCATGTTTCACTTCACCCAGAAAGATGGTCATGCAGAAAAATCTATAGATGTGACTCCTAAGGGTCAACATCATGAGACATAATCAATGTGGATTAAACCAATCCATCCTGAATTAATGTATTGTGCAAACTACGAAAATAGGTTAATTTAAGGATCAAGTTAAACCATTGGCAGTTCAAATCCCTAGCACCGCGTAACGGAGTGAGCTCCCATTACTTGTCCCAGCTTCTGCCAACCTAGCACTTCGAAAGCATGTAAAAATGCAAGTAGAAAAATAGGGACCACCTTTGGTGGGAAAGTAACAGCGTTCCGTGCACCTTTGGCATCTATTCATGCAGGCCACATGATCATGGAGATGTTCGGACAGCGCTGGCTCTTTGGCTTTGAAACGGAGGTGAGCACCGCCCCCTACAGCCGGGAACGACTAGCACATATGTTTGAGGGGAACCTTTACCTTATTTATATTACCCAGAGAAAAACTGTAAAATGGCAATATCCAGCTATTTTTTATCTAAACACACAGGTCATTCTCAACATATGACAGTAGAGACCAGAATTTCCGTTGCTAAGCAAGGCAGTTAAGTCACACCTAATTTTACCACATTTATTCAGCAAATCACTGCAGTTATTAAGTGAATCACATGGTCATTAAGCAACCATTGACTTTGCTTGCTGGAAACACCTGGGACGGTTACAAATGGCAGTCACATGACCCCAGGACAGTATAACTATCATAAATACATGCTGGTTGCCTAGCACCTGTATTTTGATGATGTAACCATGTGGATGCTGCAGCAATGGTAAGTATGAAGACTGGCTGTAAGTGATTTTTTTTTAAATCCCTCTGTAACTTAAAACAGTCACTAAATGAATAGCTGTTAAGTCAAGTCTGTAAAAGCACAATTTGTTTCAAAAACAGATCAAGGCAAAAGAGTTAGCAAAAACAGCCAGTTCTTTCCAAAGACTGCTAAGAAATGTTTATTTCTACCTTATCCAAACAAATTATACAGGTAGTCCTTGACATATGAACACAATTGACCCCAAAACTTCCACTGCTAAGTGAGACAATTCAGTTTTGCCCCATTGTGCAACCTTTTTCTACAGTTGTTAAGTGAATCACTGCATATGGCTTCCCCATTCTTTGCTTATCAAAAAAGTCGCAAAAGGGGATCACATGACCACGCGCCACCGCAGGTCGTAAATACGAGTCCGTTGCCAAGCGCTCTGCTCACGTGACCCTGGGGATGCTGCAACGGTTGTAAGTGTGAAAAACAGCCATAAGTCACTTTTTTCAGTGTTCTGCAACTTCAAACGGTCACTAAACTGTTAACGGTTGTTAAGTTGAGGATTACCTGCAATATCGACCATGATGTGGATTTCCCAAAGCCGATACCAACCTTCCAAACCGGTGTTGAAGCAGCTAGTGGGTTAACGTGATGCTCCTTGGTCGCCTGAGACTCGGGAGAGCTGGTAGGAGAGAGAGAACTTAAGGAGGAATTTGTACACAGCGTGTCATCCTCGGGACAAGATTCCATGGTTTCGTTTTCAGAATTTGCGCTCCTTTCCAAAGTTGCAGCTTGAGGAGACCCGGCGGCCAAGATATCCTCCAGAACCACGACAGGCATTTTCCGTTCAAATATGACATTCTGAGATTTATCCTCCGTGGAAATATTAGTTTCTATCCCAGTGGATGCCGCGCTTGGTAATTCCTTATCTGTTACATCGAAGTCGGTTCCTGAGCAAGGATCCACCTCCTGGGCAATGCAGGAGGAATTTGGGGGTGCAGCCTGGCCTTCTTTCTCCTTCGGGGTTTCCCCCGGAGATGCTACTCTGATGCTGGACCTGGGGTGACCCGTGTTCTCATCCAGTCTGTGAGGAGGGTCGTCCGTCAAGTCTATGAAGAGCCGAGACTGGCTTGTGTCATTTTTTATACTTTTCTGCACAAAGTTATCTAGGGGACCCTTTCCATTAACCAGTTTTGGAACAGGGGATTCCGTTTCTTCCTGGCAACTGTTTTCCACATTGTCCGAGAATGGCTGCGGCGAGTCAGGATAGGTTGCATTCTGATCGAGGGTGTTTTGCACACTCCTGGCTTTTTTCACTTCGGGGTTCGTGTCGTTTTTCTCCTTTGGTATGGGATTCAAGCGCTTGAAGGGCAGTCGAGCTAGAACAATAAGATCAATAAAATGTATATTATTGTTATTTAAAGTGTACGGCTGCCCATCTCATCTAAGGAGCTCTGGGCAGAGATAAGAGATAAGAGCAACAATCCAATAAAACCAGTTTAAAATAAACTAATACACATACATATAAAGTGATCAACGATTGTTTTAAAATAATAATAATCATGATCAGCAGCAGCCTCCATTGTTTTATCAGGCCAATCAGTTTACAATTGATTTTTATTTCCTACCTTAAATTATTTATGTGTAACATCCATAAAAATGGAAAATTAAACAACCAGCATCACACTGTTTCCTATATGGGATAGTCTGCTTTGCATACATTAAAGTATTTGATTCCTTGGCCATGAAAACGGCCTTCGGGCCAGTCTCTCTCAGCCCAACTCAACTCATAGGGTTGTTCTCGGGAAAATAAGAGTACTAGGTATGTTCATGAGCTGTCATGACAGTGGTTAGAATGCAGCATTGCAGGCTAATTCTGCTCACTGTCAGTAGTTCGATCCTGACCGGCTCCAGGTTGACTCAGCCTTCCATCCTTCCAAGGTCAGTAAAAAGAGGACCCAGATTGTTGGGACAAACATGTGATTCTGTAAACCACTTATAAAGGGGCTGTAAAGCACTGTGAAGTGGAATGCAAGTCCAATTGCTATTACTCTGTTTACCACCTTGAATTATATAAAAAGGCTGAATAAAAAAGTAATGTTAATCATTCCTACATCAAAATATATATCTTTCTGGCACAGGACAGTCTCTTGACATCTGATCAAGAAAGGAATCTTGCAGTGGAAAAATAATGTCCACTAAAAGCTGCAAGCCTCTGAAAAAGGAAAATGTCACCCTGGGGATGATGAATGGAAACTGGTGGAAGTTGTCAACATTTAGCACCCTTGTACAAATGTTTGTTAAAAAAAGACTACTATTGAGATACGTATGAACACAACCAAATGGTGGAAGACCAATTCACAACCTTTTCCTTTAGATGGATTATCAGCAATATCATCAAAAGCTTTAGAGGATTATCACACAAGCTAAAAATCAGCAACAGGAAAAAGCCTGCAGAAATTACACATAAATCTTTTTCAACTGATATCTAAACTCCAAATTAAATAAACATTTTTCAAGACCACAAATTAACATTGTTCCCAAATCCCTTGAGATGTTTGGGTTCCCACTTACACAAGTAATATTTTGGTTGCTCGACACCCATATCCGGGGCTACTCAAATCGTCAGGCTCTCGGGGGGAACTGAGGGTGATTCTTTTCCAAGCACAATTCGCACAGGGTTCTCGTTAGCAAGATTTATTGAGAAAAGATGGGATTACAAGAATTCTAGCAAGAGAACGGTTTTCCATCTAAAACAATTATAAGGTAAAGGTTCCCCTCGCATATATTTGCTAGCTGTTCCCGACTCTAGGGGGCGGTGCTCATCTCCGTTTTAAAGCCGAAGAGCCAGCGCTGTCCAAAGACGTCTCCGTGGGCATGTGGCCGGCATGAGTAAACTCCGAAGGCACACAGAATGCTGTTATCTTCCCACCAAAGGTGGTTCCCATTTTTCTACTTGCATTTTTTACGTGCTTTCGAAGTGCTAGGTTGGCAGAAGCTGGGACAAGTAATGGGATCTCACTCGCTGGGGATTTGAACCGCTGAACTGCCGACTTTCTGATCAACCAGTTCAGTATCTTAGCCACTGAGCCACCGTGTCCCTTTTAAAAACAATTATAGCCTCATGTATATTATGGCAGTATGTGTGTAGTGGTGTGAGGTGTGGTCTGGAGTTGCAGGAGGTAAGGGCTGCTTCCCAGAGGGCAAGGAGACAGCGAAGCTTGGAAAGTCTGTTAGGCAGGAAGAGGGCAACCCTTCCTAACAGTTCACAGATGCACCTATAGTTGTGCAGATAGCTGTGTGAGTCCGGCAAGATTCTGTCTGTAGGCGAACTACTCGGTCTTGGTTTGTGAAGTCTGACAAAAGTTTCTGATTGTCTTTCTGCCAGTAATCCATCAAGGAGCTATATCTCTTCACTAACAATAGAGAAGCTTGCAGTAGCTGTTAAGATTATAGCCCCCAGATTCTTTGCCAGCCTGGCAACCAATATTTATGGATGTATTATCACGGCCCATCAGTGGACTCTGGACCACAGATAACTAAATTTGGATATGAGGAACAAAAATTTATAGTGTAAGGCTAAGTAAGGGGTGCATGGTTCAAATGTGAGCATTTTTTTCTCTCTGGTAAAATACCAGAAGCTGGAGTCAGCCAAAGTAACTAAACTGAGAGAAACTGAACAGGTATTCTTTTTTTTTTTAAAGAGCATAACTAAACCATGGAATTCACTTCTATCGAAGGCAGCTTGGATAGCTCTGAAGGGGGTTTAGACAAATTCATGGAAAACGAAGAGGTCGAAGGCTGCAAAGGATGGCAAACACACATTATCATCTATATCAGGGTCATTTTTGGTAGGAGTTGCTAGGGAACACGAGTGGGAGAGCCTGAAGAGTGCAGTGGGAAGAGGCTAGATGAGAAGGGCTTTTGGTTTGAAACATAGAAAATTGGGGACAAAAGGAAGTCCTTTTTTGAGAGCGCATGTATCTTTCAAATCAGCAGAGCCCTTTGGAGCAAGATTTAAATTTTAACTAGGCCTGGACTCTACTATAGTTTCTCATTCTGAAATAATTGTTTGATTCTGCCTTCAATTAGGAGATATTGTTGAATGTTTAAAATATATTGTCTTTTGTCTCTGTAAGCCAGTGGTCTCCAACCTTGGCAACTTTAAGACCTGTGGACTTCAACTCAGCAAAGCTGGCTGAGGAACTCTGGGAGTTGAAGTCCACAAGTCTTAAAGTTGCCAAGGTTGGAGACCACTGCTGTAAGCCACCCAGAAATCTATTAATAGCCATGCAAATATATCCAAACTTTATTGACAATTAAATTTATTACTATTAAGACACAGAGAATGCTATTAATTTAGCTCCCAAAGAGAATTTTGACAAATTCGAAAACATAAAGCTATCAATATTAGCTATGAGCTTGGCGGTTTTGCATCCACCGTATTTCCTCTGGTACCAGAGGCAAATAATATAGCTGATTTCAGACATAACATTAAGCAATGTAGTTACTTCCTTTTGACTGTTATATGAAACAGCCTACAGGCATCATTAAACCACGATTTACTGCTTAGTGACAGGAATGAATCTAACCTGGATATTCCACATACAAAGTATAACAATGTAGTGTAACGCTTGACCTATTAATATGAGCCCCTAGATTCTTAGATACAGTGAGCTATCATCACTCATCTCACAGTTCAAGGAAATATAGGTAGTCAAGTTACAACCATTCGTTTAGTGGCCATTTGAAGTTACAATAGCAGTGAAAAGAATGGCTTATGACTAATTTTCACACTTACAACCACTGCAGTATCCCCATGGTCACATGATCAAAATATGGACACTGGGACACTGGCTCATATTTATGACGGTTGCACTGTCCCAGGGACATGGGATCATCTTTTACAAACTTCTGACAAGCCAGGTCAAAGGGGAAGCCAGATTCACTTAGTAACTCCAATGATTCACTTAACAATTGTGGCAAGAAAGGTCATAAAATGGGAGAAAAGTCACTCAACAACTGTTTTGCAAAGCAAGAGCAATGTTGGCCTCAATTGTGGTTGTTAAGTCAAAAATTACCTATAGTTTTGAAGGAGATCTGGGCTCTTGACTCCACAGATGTGCTAAAGATTTTAACAGAGGGGATTATTCTGAAGTCACTGCCCTTATCAGTGCTGTTCAGGGCCCTGCAGTGCAACAAAACCAAGATGGACAGAAATCTTCCACCCCATTGAACGAAGTCAATAGAATAGAAAAACAACCATTCTCCCCCAGGGTCCTTGCACTCCAATTTTGGCAACTCCGTGAGAGAATAAAGTTATGAAACCCAGAACCGAATGCAAATAGTGTTATAAATCCACGTAATATGAAAAGCGTAAGAAGTTGAAAAGCCAGAATATATATTTGAAGAGAAAACAAGTTACCTTGGATTAGCTTCCGGGCTGGAACTCCTGTTTTATTTCGACACTCCATAATTGCCTAGCAAAGGCAGATAATAATTAAATTTCCGCAGATAATCAAAACAAATATTGTTCACCTCTGATTATTAATATTGGCCCTCATCCAATCCTTCTTGTGATCACTCAAAAGTTCTATCCACCCATATCAAATCCTCATTGTCATTCGACTACACATATGCACAATATTTAGTTTCTGTTTCCAATTCCCCTATCAGGCGTTGTACTTTGCTTGGATTTAGTTTAAGCCACCACTGCAATTTTCAAGTCATGATTGAAAGCACTGCAGGAACCTCTGAGGGGCAGCATTTCCATAAGGGTCTCTCTCCCCCCACCCCCAGCATCTGATCTGGCTATCTTCCCCTTCCCTGGGTCAATTGCCAATCCTTTGCTCAATTCCCCCATCAATACCCCAATCCTCCCTTAGAATGCAGAGGGGGTTCCCCACAACAGATTTGGCCCGTCCCAGGGCTCAGGGTTCATTCTATGCTTCGAAGCCCCTTGAAGCCCCCCTCCCAAAGCTGATGAAGCCTATGATGTGATACCCTTCTACATCCTTGTGGCCCTGCCCGTCTCAGTTCCCCCTCCTTCCTGTTTCCCATAAGAGACCCCTCTACTCCCTCCCCCTGCCTCAGTTTCCCCTCCCCTATCTGCCTGTTTCCCCTCAGCAACCACTCAGCAGCCCCTCATTTCCATCCCTCCTGCCTCAGTTTCCTCTCAGAGACCCCTCCCCCTCCCTCAGTTTCCCCTCAGAGACCCCATCCTGCCTGCCTCAGTTTCCCCTCAGAGACCCTCTGATCTACCTGTTTCCCTTCAGAGACGCTTCCCCTCACTTGCCTCAGTTTTCATTTAGAGATCCCCTCCCCTCCTGTCTGTTTCCCTCAGACCCATCACACCTGCCTGTTTCCCCTCAGAGACCCTTCCCCTCCCTGCTTTATTTATTTATTTATTTATTTAGTTTGTCACTCATGTACAAGATAACAGGAATAATAAAAAACATGAATGACAACACAGGAAATGGGTACAAATAAATGGGGACAGTAGGACAGTGATGTATATTATATACCATATTATTTATGCCTATATTATGCTTCCTCCCCTCCCTGCTTCAGTTTCCCCTGAGACCCCTCCCCGGCCTCAGTTTCTCCTCTGTAACCACAGCTGCTCCTCCTTTCCTCCCCTCCCGCCTCAGTTTCCCCTGAGATCCCTTCCCTCCCTGAGACCCCCTCCCCTATATATTATATTATTAATATAATACATTATATTATGCACGTATATTATGCACCCCCCCTCCCTGAGACCCCCTCTCCTATATAATATATTAATATAATACATTATAATATATTATGCACATGTATTATATTATGCACCCCTCCCTAAGACCCCTTCCCCTATATATTATTAATATATTATTTTATATTATGCACATATTGCTTCCTCCCCTCCCTGCCTCAGTTTCCCCTCAGAGACCCTTCCCCTCACTTGCCTCAGTTTTCC